ATTTATTTTAATTATATAATAATATATTAATTATAATATACTATATACTGAATGTAATTATGATTATTTACAACAACCATCAACAAGATAATTATTTTACTTTATCTTTATAATATTTACTACTTCCTATTATATATATTTATTATACTTTAATAATATAACTATATATATTAACTTATATATTATATTATATATAAATATATAATATAATATATATATAACATATATATCTAATATAATATGTATATACATATTATTACTATTAATATATTTTATAAATATCATGTTTTTTACTATTATCATTTAATTATTTAATTTAATAATCTCTTTAATCTATCCTTTCTTATTATTCTTATCATATTGTATACTAATTATTAATTATATAATATTTATACTTATATATTCATATATATCTATTTAATTAATCTATATATATTTATATTTAATTATTATTCTATATTATATTATAATATTATTTATATTATGTATATATATATTATATTATTCATTATCTCAAATATTCAAATTCACTTAACATCACATACCTATATCAATCTCGCATTTACATATACTATATTTATTCATATCATACCTATACCTAATTAGTTTACTAGACGTATCATAATATTACTAAATCTAACCTAATTTTTCCATACTATATTTATTACTTTATATCACTACCTCTCTAATTTACACTCAGTTCATATATACTTATCCTCTCTTCTAAATCAGGTTACTCAAATTTACTATCATATATTCACCCTATAGGTGTATACTGACTACATAATGTAATTACTCACTACAAGTATTGGAATTGTTAGTAACTGCATTTATTTCTCGTATTATATTAATATTTGGATAGTATTAACCTACCTTTTTATGCAAGGCATAATATTGTTCCTACCTTTTATTATCATTTATATACTTAAAACACACTTTTATGATAGTATGGTATTTACACACACTACACATATGTTTATCATTATTATACTGTAGGACCTCGTATTATTCAGGAAAAACAATTATAATAATGTGCACATCTCTTATTAACCCACACACACACGCACACACACACAGCAACACAAATTCACACATACATAATATATATATATATATATATATATATATAATATATAATATATATACATTGTATGTGTGTGTGTGTGTAAGCCCCTACTTTATATAATCTATTATTACACTATATCGCCACTATATCAGCCCATTAACACTCTGTATAATCCTTTAGAAAAGAGGGTCGCCTAAGACAGTGTTTCCCAAACTTTTACGGGTGTGACCCTAAAGATAGTCTTAGCCTGGGCTAGCGACCCTGTGAGCATGTGGTAATATATCCAACCAAGTTCATGGTAGTTATATTTGCAGATGTATTTTAGCTAACGTTATTCTATACTTTTATAGGGTTATATTACCAACACACTGAGTTTCAATAAGCGTGTAAATAAAAAACATTAACTTTTACGGACATGTCCAGTTATGGATTCTTTTATTCTTTTTTTTAAGACCCTCTGGCGATCCTCAGAAAAACCCTGGTGACCCTCATTTGGGTTGCGACCATGGGGTTGGGAACCACTGGCCTGAGGCATACTGATTGGACTAGACCTCAGTCCCTCAGTTGTACTATTTTATCACCATAATCGCTGCCTCGTGCCAGAAGCGACTCTGTCTGCACACTACCATTCATCGGCCTCGTTACAATATATATATATATATGTATGTATGTTTGTGTGTATTCATATATATCTATTTCTTTATGAATATAAATATAAATTCATTAATGCATAATGCATCTTCTGAATGATCTTTATATGCATATAAGTGTATGTAATATTTTTGTCTTTAAGATGGAAATGTTTATGTCTTCTCTCTCTCTCTCTCTCTCTCTCTCTCTCTCTCTCTCTCTCTCTCTCTCTCTCTCTCTCTCTCTCTCTCTCTCTCTCTCTCTCTATCACTCTCTATCTGTGTATCTCTCTCTCCAATTTGTATAATTTGAATCATGAGAATTTACAGTCATACTGAATAGTTAGTACACACTACCGAGGTGAGATACGAAGTATATTCATTGTTAATAACAAAAAATAATAACTGATCCACAAGATAAAGGAAACTAGACCAAAACGGATGTCTAGAACAATGAGAGAACTTAACGTAAAGGTATTTATTTGTGTTTTATAAATACACATATTAATTAATTGTAACATCCACAAGATAAAGGAAACTAGACCAACACGGACGTCGAGAACAGTGAAAGAACTTAATATAAAGGTGTTTATTTGTGATTTATAAATACATAGATAAATTAATTGTGACATTTTTATTTATGTTCGAAAAATATGGCGCAAAAACTGAATGTATTTCCCAGAGAGAATACTGGCTTAAAAGACACTACATATGAAAATCAATAATTTTCCTTTTCCCTCATGAAATTCTGGACCTATTTTGGCCTTTACGCAGCAAGCTATCCTGGCAGACCACGCCTCTCCTT